CTCTCTCTCTCTCTCTCTCTCTCTCTCTCATAGTTTATAGTTTATTTACCTCTTCACAACTTAAGTTAACAATTAGTCAACCTGATGCTGTTTTAAAGCCATATTAGGATACCATATTTTTTTTCGGACCACAAAATACAACATTATTTAAAAAAATTGCTTGCACTTGTTGATTTAATGAACTGTAACCTTGTCATAAATGTCATAAAATTATCCCTTGCAACTCATTCCGTATTCCAAGTGTCCTTAAGGCGTACGGTAGGGTTTGCCGAGAAACAAATCAAAAATGTAATCTATTATTAAGCAAAAAATCTCCAGTCACCACATTCATGCATTTGCATGAGAGCGCAGCAGTTCGTGCCGGTGAGCATAGGAAAAGCACACAAGAGAGTCATTTTGAAACATCGAGACAAATAAAATCATGACACGAAACACAATACTTTCTCTGAGGTTAATATATCCGTTCTGAGACAGTCAGACAGGATTATACAGCCTAGAAAGTGCGCTCCCTCCATAATCACTAAAAGCTGTCACTCATTCCAGTTCATCGCGATCTCACGACGTCCCGTTCATCAGTGAAGCTGTCTGCACTGCACAATCAATCTCTTATTTACATCATATTTATAATGAGAGGATTTGTGAGCTTGCAGACCTCAGCACTTGACAAAAGGCCGATGACTGTGATGTAATCTGCTAACTTCAGGAGCTTGACAGAGGGGTGTTTTTCAGTGCAGTCATTCATTTTCATCTTTGGTGCGACCGTGCTACCAGCGGAGTTGGGTAGATTACTTGAAAATTATAATCCGTTACTGATTCCAAATTATATGACAAAAATTGTAGTTAGTAAACTAATCCATCACATTACACATTTTAGGTAATATAATCAGACTACTTTTTGATTACATTTAGATTACTTTTGACCAAACTTGTTTTTCACATCGAATTAAATAGGATAATCTTGGACCATATTGATAATAAAAAGAAAATCTATTCCATTCTTTGTTATTAACAACATAAAGTGCATTAAACATTACATTACGTCAAGGTTTAGCAAACTGTGGTTTATGAAGGAACTGCAAGGGGGTTTGTGAGTTTAATCAAAAGCTAATAATTAATTAAATGATAACACTGTAAAATTAAAAAATAGATATTTTAAAATAACAACCAAAATAAAACTCTTGCTAAAAAATGAAATATTTAATTTGTTTACCTGCATGTTATGTTTAGCGTTAATCAATATCAGAGAACCGTGAGCATGCAACTGTGTTACTTAATCATGAATTTTTACTTTAAAATCTCAGGGGTAATTCAAGTAAATATATTAGTTGAAAGAGGTTTTGCTGACATAAACAGTTTGTGAATGCATTAAATGTAAATAATAAATGTGAATTTGTGCATTTTAATGTTTCTGAAAGTCTTCCCAAGACAGTAATACATGGTTAAATAACCTACTGAGTGATAATTCAAATAAACATTAATGCTTTTCATCAGTAGTTTACTCAATGATGAAATGTTGAGAAAACAATTCTTAAAATTCTAACGATTTCAGTAAATCCAGTGGTCAAATGCTGTGCGGCCTCTCAATTGTCTGTGTAGTTCCATCACCCGACTAGTGACTTGTCTTTCACAAAATTTTCACAAAACTGGAGGACTTTATGAAAGTACATTAGCGCTAGGCTATTTTTAGAAAGGAACATTTAAAAGATGAAAAAGAGGAAGTAGGGAGAATCAATCAATTATGAATAATTTATTGCTGTTGTGTGAATATGTAGTCATGTAATCAATAAAAAAGTAACTGTAGTCTGATTACGAGTATTTTAAAATGTAATTTAATCTAATTACAAATACTTAATTTTTGGAGTCTGATTATGTAATCCAGATTACATGTAATCAGTTTCTACCCAGCTCGGGGGGTCACTAGACCCTTCTTACTGGGGCACAAGCTCCAGTAAAGTTTTGCTGATAAATCATTGTCTGACAAGGTAGGTACATCTGAATATAAGCTTTCTTATTCATTGAATGTTGGCATTTACATACTTTGAATTATTTAAAACTTGAAGGATGATTGTAACACCAGCTGAAGCGAAAATACCTTGGCCCCGCCCCCTAGCTGTGCTCCTCCTTCACTTCTCACCCTCGAATCCTCGACTTGCAGTCAGTCAGATGATTATTCATAATACGATGCTGTAGCTGAGGATAATAATAGTTTGTTAACTGCTAAAAAATGCTTGCTTATCTCTTCTAATTTGGCATTGATCGTGGCTATTTTGAAGTGATTGGTTCTTTTAGGGAGCTAGACTAGATAGTTTACTCATGAAAATGCTAGTTGAGAATTATTATAATAATTTTTTTTAAATATAGATTTTCAGGAGTTTAATAGAAATGATGGTTAAGGGTCAAATAAAATGAAAATTTGCATTGAAATTAATGTTGTCAGTAAATGTTAAAAAACCCATGTTTCAGGAAAAATATTTACCAAATGTATTGAAGGGTTCTACAAACTATTTTAGTCATTATACATACCACTGCATAGTTTTTCAATTATAAAACAATAGACAGAATATTAGACATCGTATAAGTGATTTATTTGAGCACTAGAAAAGTACAATAAGAATAATTCTTGAGTAATAAAAAGAAATAATAAAAAAAATAATTAACTATGTATGCCAAGTACATCCTGTGATTGCAGCATTCACACTGATAGCTGCTCATACAGTCAGTAATCACATGCTGATGGCCGGTCATACAGATGGTAATTATACAGATGGCCGGTCATATAGTCAATAATCACACTCTATTCATATAGACCCTATTCACACTGATAGCTGTCATACACACAGTAATCACGCTGATGTGCGGTCTTACAGATGGTAATCATGCAGCTACAGCCACATTCCCCACAAAACACACACACACATATATGAAAAATGTTGAAGAAGAAGAAAAAAAAGAATTATTTGTGCAAAAAGCCGATCGCTAAGTTTTATCGCAATGCATATTACTAATCAAAAATGAAGTTTTGATATATTTACGGTAGGAAATTTACAAAATATCTTCTTGGAACATGATCTTTACTTAATATCCTAATGATTTTTGACATAAAAGAAAAATCTATAATTCTGACCCATACAATGTATTTTTGGCTGTTGTTACAAATATACCTGTGCTACTTTTGACTGGTTTTGTGCTCCAGGGTCACATATAAAAATGCATTTGTTGATGCAACAGTGCCATTCGAACTTCCTTATATGCAGATTTGAACTGTTTTGTTGAACCGTAGTTACAATGGGATTCGAACCAGAGCTCTCAAGTATGTCTCCGTACTCCTTGAGCTACCGAACAAACCTACTGTCTATGAAAACCCATAGATATGAAGGTAGATATGTGCGATGCTAACATTCAAAAGCATCAGTTTTCAAATCTCCCAGCATATTACAATTGTTTTGAAGTCATAACATAATATTCTTCAAGTAATTGTGTGAAAATTACGCTTTATTAATCAAAACTCTGTACATTTTTTGTAAAGGAATAAAAGGTTTCAGAGCTTTACTGCCTCTAGTGTTCATTTCTTTTGGAAACTGCACTGAGATGTACTTATTGGTATGTATTCC